TTCCAAAGCATTGCGCAGGGACTCCGTGACAGGTGCTCCCAGCAGCTGGGACCCACCTCCACATCTGGGAACCTCCTCTATCTGCAGAAAGGCTGCTGGCTGCTGCCCTCAGAGGCCAGGTCTGAAGGCACCACAGAAGTGAGAGTGACAATGCTATGATCCCCCCTACAACAACCTCCGAACTCCCCCATTCTCCCATTTTGGTGGGACCCCCATGGTTACAATACCATGAAATGTCAGATGGAAACATCTGAAATGGTGATATTAGTCAATTTCAAGGCCAGAGGGTTTTTTAATTAGTCAAAATGAGCTGTGAATGTGGTAGGGACCTGGCTGTTATGGAGGTCCTACCAGGTTTGCACCCCAGTTCTCCTGAAAGGCCATTGAGAATTCATGCTGCCTGAGAAACTTCCCAGAATAAGCTACCAGGACTGGGGAGAAATGAAGGAAACCAACTGAAGCCTGAGCTAGGATGGAGAGCATTGATCCAAGCAGTGTTTGAACCCCTCCACCCCCACAGAGGGGCGCTGATTTCTGTTTGTGAACTTGCTACAGACTGTGGGCTTCAGCACAAGCCGTACAGCCCATACTCTGAACTCTTGGATAAACAACAAAGTTGGCTTTTCAGAAACCTTCTCCCCCAGGGCTCTGCATCCACTTGGGATTGTGCCCAGCAGAGGCTGGTGGAGGGGAGGGGAAAATAGAGGAGGATGTGCAAATGTCATGGCGTCTGCACTACCCCCCCCCCCACCACACACACACACACAGACACCCAATAACAATGCACAGCATATTAGCCAGGACAGTAAATTATTTGGCCATAACTTAAAGTCCTCAGTGTTGAAAGTACAATTTATCCAGAAAACTATGGGAGGGAAGGGAAGGAGAGTTGCAGTAACCAGCCTGGATTTCCAGTCTCTGGCCAAGCACATCCCCCTCTCCAGGGTTTTCACTGACTTCTTCTCCAAACTGGTCCTCCTGATATAATCTGAGGTCACATCCTGGCCTTCAGGGACATTGGCAGGATCTTCACTGTTCCCAGCTGCAGCATCACCCTCGTTATCCTGCAGCACAGCACTTGGCATCCAAGTGCAGACTCCAAAGAGACTCAAGACTGTTGGTTGATTCCTGAATTCAGGACCTGATCCAATTCCCATCAAAATCAGCGAGCCAGAGCCTCAGCTGGTGTCAGCTGGAATCGCCCCATTGATTGCGGTGGATTTACAGCCCATTCACACCAGCTGGGGATCTGAGAACCTCACAGAACCTCTCCACTAATTCCAATGGGTGTTGGAACAGGCCTGTAAGTAACACACCTTCCCCCTGTGACAGAAAAACGCAGGCCTGGCCCTGTTTGAAAGCAGCTGTTGAATTCTGTTTTGCTCATGGTTCTCAGATTCTCTGTCTCCTTGTGTGTTCGGGGAGCTGTATCCTTTCCCCTCCTAGCCCCACCACAGATTCATGAAATCAACAAGACAGCTGAATGGGCAATGGTGTTAGTATCTTTGGAGACTCCAATCAGGGATGCAAATGGCCCCATGCTCTGCCATAACTTTGAGGGAGAGGCCGGTTGCATCTGTCATTTGCAAAGACACCCAATAAATAAGGTGGAGGGATAGCTCAGTGGTTTGAGCATTGGCCTGCTAAACCCAGAGTTGTGAGTTCAATCCTTGAGGGGGGCCACTTAGGGATCTGGGGCAAAATCAGTATTTGGTCCTGCTAGTAAAGGCTCAATGACCTTCCAGCTCTATGAGATCGGCATATCTCATTATTATTATAAAATCTGTTTGTTTTTTTCATATAGAAAATGCTTCATTTCAAGATTGGGAGACTAGCGGAAAGACTAATTCATTACTCTTATTATAGTTAATCTTAACAGTAGCACCTAGAGGCCTCCCGTGAGATCAGGGCTCCTTGCGCCAGGCGTGGCGCAGACACAGAATAAGAGAGAATCGAGGCCCTAAAGAGGTTAATGTAAGATAGACAAAGGGTAGGAGAGAGGAATGATTTGCCCAAGGTCTCACAACAGGTGAGTGGCAGAGTCAGGTATGCAGGAATCTTCCAGGCCAGGGGTGGCCAATCTGAGCCTGAGAAGGAGTCAGAATTTACCCATGGACATTGCCAAAGAGCCACAGTAATACGTCAGCAGCCCCCCCCTTCATCTTCGCCCCCCCCCCAGCACCTCCCACCCACTGGCAGCCCCACTGATCATCACCTCCCCCTCCCTCCCCGCACCTCCCGATCAGCCGTTTCCTGGGGTGCAGGAGGCTCCAGGCAGGAGGCGGAGGAGCGAGGGCACAGCAGGCTCAGGGGATGGGATGGGAAGGGGTGGAGTGGGGGCAGGGCCTGTGGCAGAGCCAGGGGTTGAGCAGTGAGCACCAGGGGCGGCTCCAGGCACCAGCGCACCAAGCGCGTGCCTGGGGCGTCAAGCCGCAGGGGGTGGCCTGCCGGTCGCCGTGAGGGCGGCAGTCAGGCTGCCTTCAGCGGCATGCCTGCGGGAGGTCCGCGGATTTGGCGGTAGGTACGCCGAAGCCACGGGACCGGCGGACCTCTTGCAAACATGCCGCCGAAGGCAGCCTGCCTGCTGTGCTTCGGGTGGCAAAATACATCGAGCCGCCCCTGGTGAGCACCCCCCGGCACCTTGGAAAGTTGGCACCTGTAGCTCCAGCCTAGGGTGACCAGATGTCCTGATTTTATAGGGACAGTTCCGATTTTTTTCAGAGTAGCAGCTGTGTTAGTCTGTATCCGCAAAAAGAACAGGAGTACTTGTGGCACCTTAGAGACTAACAAATTTATTAGAGCATAAGCTTTCGTGGGCTACAGCCCACTTCTTCGGATGCAAGAATGCAAGAATCTTCGGATGTAGCCCACGAAAGCTTATGCTCTAATAAATTTGTTAGTCTCTAAGGTGCCACAAGTACTCCTGTTCTTTTCCCCAATTTTTTGGTCTTTTTCTTATCTAGGCTCCTATTACCCCCTCCCCCTTGTCCCGATTTTTCACGCTTGCTGTCTGGTCACCCTGCTCCAGCCCCGGAGTCGGTGCAGTTACAAGGAGCCGCATGTTAACTCCCAAAGAGCCGCATGTGGC